TCCACTCTCCATCTGTCTCCTCTTTTGTTCTTAGCCAGCCTGACCTTCTGCCTATGCACCCCAGAATACCTCCAGGGTCACTTATCCCTTTCTGCCTAGCTGTCACAGCCCGCAGGATCCCACCTACCTTCCGAGTGAGGAGGAAATGGGTCCTTCCTTATCTCGCCACCAGGGGACAGCCCACACCCAGGACATGCCTGGGGAGCTGGGAGAGCAGGTAGGTCATTGAGAATCTGAGTGGAGCTCCGATGTCCCTTCCACACAGGGTTCCTGGGGGCAGAAAGAGGCGCAGTCCCAGTGAAGGACAGGACGGGGAGTAGGATCCTGAAAACAGCGATGGCATTGTCCCCTAGCGCTATAACACCAAGCTGGCCCATAGCCACTCTCTCCCACACTTGTTCCATGACCTCATGATGAGGAGAATTCCCTGAACAAAGCACAGGCTCACGCAGCAGAGGTCTGGGGTCCAGGGATTCCACAAGAGGGGGAGCAGCATACAGGGCATGTCCCTTAAAAACAGAAGCAATGGATCCATCCTGCTTCCCACCAGTACCTGAGGGCTCCTGGGATTTCCCACACCCTCCCTGGCCCAGGTCCTGGTCAGTCCACCTTTAGCTGGCTGGGCTGGAGGCGGCGCAAGACCAGGAGACCCCAGCAGTTCCGCTCAGCCAATGACCTGCCAGCTCAGGTCTTTTCCGCCTGGGCAAGGGACGAATTTCTCCCTGGGGAAGCCCTAGGTCTCCCGCCCCCTGCCCCATTTTATTGATATATACCAGAAAGTTTACCAATTTAAAGCGTGCAACTCAATGAGTTTTTTTTTTTTAAAGCAACTTCACAGTTGTGCAACCATCGCTATTGTCTAGTTTTACATTGTTATCATTCCCCACAAGAAAACCTGCACCCCTTAGCTGTCACTCCCATTTTGATCCTGCCCCAGCCCCATCCAGAGCCAGTCCTAGGCCAGCCCATCCACTGTCTGGTCTCTACAGACTTTCCCATTCTGGACATTTCACACAAACGAAATCACCCAATATGTGGTCTTGTGTCTGGCTTCTCAGCATAACACTCTTGAGGTTCATCCGTGCTGCAGCCCGTATCAGTTCTCCGTTCCTTTCACTGTGGAAGAGCACCTTCTGTATGGACGCACCACTTTCTGTTCGTCCATTCACCAGCTGACGGACATCTGGGTTGTTTCCATCTTGGAGGAATGAACGGTGCCACGATGCACACTTGTGCCCGAGTTTGAGCACATTCTTTTTTTTTTTTTCCATTTTTCTTGGCTGGAGACGTAGAAACCGAGTTGCTGGGTCGTAGGTTAATTCTATGTTTAACATTTTGAGGAACCGCCAGACCGCTTTCCGAAGGAGCCGCACCATTTGCACTTGTAACTGTCCCTTCCTTGTTACCGCCTTTCATGGCAGGTTTGATGTGGCAGATGCCCTTGTGGTTGACCCGTGGTTCCCTAATGATGCCGAGTGTCATTCCCCGGGCTCATTGCTTACTCGTGTTTTTCTTCCTAGAGATGCCTTTTCGAATCCTTTCATTTTTTAAATCAAGGAGTATTTTTTTACCTTTTATTTTTTAAGATTTTATTTTAAATTTATTTATGTTGAGAGATAGCGAGCGCAAGTGGGGGAGGCGCAGAGAGAGAGGGCGAATCCCAAGCAGGCTCCTCGCTGTCAGCGCAGAGCCTGATGCACAAACTCTCGAATCTGCGAGATCATGACCTGAGCCAAAATCACCCAAATCAAGAGCTGGATGCTTAACTAAGCCACCCAGGCGCCCCTAAGATTTTATTTGTAAGTAATCTCTACACCCAACGTGCGGCTGGAACTCATGACTCCGAGATCAAGGGTCGCATGCTCTTCCCACTGAGTCAGCCAGGGGCCCCTATTTTTTTTTTTAAAACTTTTAAATGAAGGTACTTGTCTTTTTGACTGAATTGTAATTCTAGATACACATCCCTTATTAGATAGGACTTACAGCTTCTCCCAGCGTGAGGGTTGTCGGGGTTCTGTCCCTTAAAGCACAAATGCTTGTCAGACCAAAGCCCGTATCTTCTTTTTATCTGTTTGCTTTCGGGGTCTACTAAAAATCATCGCCTAACTTATGGTCATGAAGACATTTTCCTTTAATCTCCCCTAGGAATTTTAGTTTTAACCCTTACGTTTAGGTCTATGACCCACTCTGAGTTAACCTACATACACAGTGCAAGGGCTCCAGGCCAAAGTTGTTCTTTTGCACGTGGATACCCAGTTGTACAAACACTTGTTGCAGGGGTGCCTGGGTGGCGCAGTCGGTTAAGCGTCCGACTTCAGCCAGGTCACGATCTCGCGGTCCGTGAGTTCGAGCCCCGCGTCGGGCTCTGGGCTGATGGCTCGGAGCCTGGAGCCTGTTTCCGATTCTGTCTCCCTGTCTCTCTGCACCTCCCCCGTTCATGCTCTGTCTCTCTCTGTCCCCAAAAAAATAAATAAACGTTGAAAAAAAATTAAAAAAAAAAAA